AAATGTGAAATGAATGAGAAAGAACGAATGCTAGTATTATTTTTAGTAATATCTACATTCTGAGTTTAGTACAAGGCCATCTCAAGTCTGAATCGAAAACATATATACGAAGAAGCAGCAACAATTGACATGTAGGAGGTCTTAACCTTAAGAGAGGTTTTTTTTTTCCCCCAAATCTGTTGGAGGTTGTTCTCAATTTCATTCGTGGGGGTTCATAAATAAATAACCTGATATAAATAAATAACCTGATGTAACTGCTTAGCACTCAGTAAGCAAGCTGAGAGAAGTCACAATTTTCTGTGATGCCCACTACTTTCCTAGAAATTAACCTGAAAGAAAGAAGGAAGGAAGGAAGGAAGGAAGGAAGGAAGGAAGGAAGGAAGGAAGGAAAGAAAGAAAGAAAGAAAGAAAGAAAGAAAGAAAGAAAGAAAGAAAGAAAGAAAGAAAGAAAGAAAGAAAGAAAAGAGGGAGAGAGGGAGAGAGGGAGAGAGGGAGAGAGGGAAGGAGGGAAGAAAAGAAATGTAACAAAACTAACCTCAAAGGGGATCTTGAGGATAAAACCAATTTCATTCTACCTTAGCCTCCACAGAAATCTTCCCCCACCAATAAATGTTTTACTTTACAAGAAAGAAAGAGAAAGAAAGAAAGAAAGAAAGAAAGAAAGAAAGAAAGAAAGAAAGAAAAGAGGGAGAGAGGGAGAGAGGGAGAGAGGGAGAGAGGGAAGGAGGGAAGAAAAGAAATGTAACAAAACTAACCTCAAAGGGGATCTTGAGGATAAAACCAATTTCATTCTACCTTAGCCTCCACAGAAATCTTCCCCCACCAATAAATGTTTTACTTTACATTATTTACTTTATGCTATTTAATTCTATAACATACCTGGGACTCATCGGCAGAACTAGAAGGTTATGAGTTGGGTTTTTTTTGGGAATTGAACTCAGGGCCCTGTGGTTGCTTTGCCGCTGAGCTACATCCCTGGCCCTTGGGTTATTTTGCTGGTGTCCCTCAAAATACCTGGCTTGCACTGATACATCTTGGGTTCAAAAGTACCCAGTGTATTAAACATAGGTAAGGCCTGCTTGCTACTTTTTAAAAAATAATGTTTTAAGAGAGGACACAGCCATGTCTCCTCATGTGGCTGCTTTCATGCTGCGATGGCAGAGTGACTGTGTGTCCTGCAAAGCCTGAAATATTTACTATCGAGCCTTTTATAAAAGTCCCTTTAAAATTATCCACTTCCTCTCCTTTAGCAAATAGCTAAAGAGTAGAGCACACATACGGTGAGCATCCTTTTGCCGTTCAGAGCAATAAATTTTTTCCAAAAGAACATAAAAGCTGGCTTCCTAAACATTTCAATTATTTTCCATTTTTGAGTTTCTCACTATCATAACTTTGAAGAAGACATTTCCTAAGCATTTCTGGATATCAAAGATTTGGCTTTTCACACTTGTCAATCTGATAGATTTTACTGGCACTGATGTGACATGTAATTTAACGCACCACCACATCTTATAATAATCATTTTTAATAATGTTTGGCAGTTCAAAAAGTTCAATTCCAATGATATTACAGAATGTGCTAAAGTGAACTAAGATTTGTTGTTTCACAACTGAAGAATAGTATAGTGTGATTAAGAACAAGAGTTCTAATTTGGGCAAAGTCTAAATGGCCTTGGTACTAAGACAGGCTCTAGTTAAAATATGGGACACAGCCAGACGTGGTGGTGCACACCTGTAATCCCAGCTCTCAGGAGGCTGAGGCAGGAGGATCACTGTAAATCCGAGACCAGCCTGGGCTACATAGTGAGTTCCCGGTCAGTTTCAACTACATTGTGAGATCCTGTCTCAAAAAATAAAAACAAACAAACAAACAAACAAACAAACAAAAAGATATGGGACACAATGACCAGAGGCCCTGGGGCTAAAGGAGTGCAGTACATTCAAAGGCTGCAGTGGCTTATCTACAGCTTGCAAAATACAAGCTTCTGAGGACACCAACTTAAAACCTAGTGGTGGTGTTTTGGCCTGGTCTGACAAATTTCGATTCTTTTTGTGTTATATGGGCATGCACTAGTCTATTCCACTATATCTGGGTTACTTTGATGTACCAACAAATTAATGCTGTCCTCCCCTCAATACTACATGGGGTTAGCCCTTAACATGATCCTAAGGTACAAGTAACCCATGCAGCAAGGCCAGTTGTTCTCTAGTAGAGAGTGGGATTCTACAAAACCAAGACGACACAGAGAGGAAGGGACGGTGCACGGCTGGGACTTCCTATTTCCAACCCAGAGGTTTGCTGGTTTATTCTCTGCTTTCGTGGTAGTTTACATAAGAGCAGAAAAATAATAAAACCTCTTACCCTACAGTGAACAGACACAGCTGCCTCTACCTTACCTCACAAGTACTAAGAGCTAGAAGACTGGTCTAACAAGCTCAGTTTCAGAAGCATCTGTGCAGAGTTTACTGTTACCGATATCTTTACACTTCAACAGGGTCTCCAGTTTATTGAACATGTTCTTGTTTATACCAGCCTAGTTATGTCGCCTGACTCGGAAGTAGGGAAAAATACTAGTCTAGAAATATGATTCTCAGCCATGGGTGATTTCGCACACAGAGCAAAGTCTGGACACAATTTTAGTTAGCACAGCTGGAAAATGGCACGTAGTGGGGAGGGGTTGGGGACACTGCTAAGCGTCTTACATGCACAGGACAGACTCCCATAACAATGAATCATCTGCACCAAAATGTCACTCACAGGCTGGGGGGTGCTGCTGCCCTAAGTGGGAGGCCTAACATATGAGAGGCCTTGCTTCGCTCCCCAGCACCACCAAAGAAAGCCAAGAAACCTTGGTCTGTGTGCGATCTCACGTCACACGTATTTACTAGAAGCAGCTCACACTAAGCAACCTGTAAAATCAATCACCTCTGGGCACACAGAATCATTCAATTAGCCCTAAATTGGTGAAGGAGCAAAGTGGAAACCTGAGTTGCCCAACAAACAGGATTTCTCACCTTCCAGAGAAGCTCATTTTCTCTGAACGGAGTCTGCTATCTACATTCGACCTCCAGACGACCATGGCCTTTCCACTTCAAATATGCAGCTTTGCTATAAATAAGATGCATAGCTATACAGGCTATAAATAAGTAGAAATTATATGCTTTCTCTTGTCTGTACTTAAACTGCAAAACTCTTCACTTGCTAGGATTGAATAGTCTCTGTAGGTATCAAAAAAAAAAAAAGCTGATGCAATCATCTCATCCTCCTAGAATGGAAGGGAGTCAGGATTCTAGAGAAAGAGCAAGGAGGTGGAGAAAATGACCAAGAAAGAAAATTACAAAAGAGACTTTCAGCATCTGGAAGAACTGATAAAAATTTTGAGAGATCCACACGTGTTTACGTATCAAATTATGTACGTATCAAATTTTAAATGTATCAAATTATGATGTTCATTACATGCTAAAAGTCTACAAAACGCAACAAGGAAAAATTTTCAAAGGGAAAGGCACATAATTTATTGATGCACACTAATTCTATTAATAGCATTGAGGAAAAGATGTTAACATTCATCATCCTGATTCACTGAATTCTGTATTCATGAAATGCACTTTCTGAACCTCATATGTAATTGCTTAGCCTAGAAAACAATGTCAAAACCAAACGCTTAGACATTTGGGGTGGAACACAGCCACTCTATTTAGGTTTCAAACTTGGTACCCTATGTTTGACAGCCCCAGACAAGTCACCAAGCTCTGTAAGCCTCATTTTCTCAGACATATAAGGAAATAAGGAACACATCTACAAAGTGCACTGAAGAAAAACAAATGATGTAGGAAAAGGCTTGGTAATTTTCAACACATTACAGAAATCAAAGTATTATCAAATCAATTATGTGGTATCTAGAGGGTCTCCCAGTCCTACTATCTTAGAAGAACTCACTAGACTTTCAGCATTCTTAACAATAAGTGCTTCTTCACAATAGCAAGAAATGTTGTTTATCAAGATAGTAAAAACTACATCTTTCAAAATTTACAGATTATTTTAATCAATGTGAATGTCTTATGGAGATCATTAAAAAACTATGGTTCAGGATGAAATCTTTTGTGAACTATGTAACTCCCCATCTATAATTTGTCTTTAAAAAAATACTTGGTCTCATTAGTTTTGAGACTTGTCCCCCAAGATACTGTTGATAAATGCCAATTTTAAATGTTAATTTGAATTATAAAATACCTGGGATACAACAAGTGAAATTATGTCTCTTCTATCAATAAAAAGTATCAAGAGTCTGTATGACTTCTAACCTGCAGCTGGATAAATTTATTCCTGGTTATAATCCAAAATTAAAAGTGAGTATTGGTGTGCTTGAACAAAGCTAGACTGAAATAATCAGGAAACACAAGATATAGTAAAACCTGTGGTGGTTGGTTGATGCATTTCTTTACAGAAAACTACATCCTAATGACAAAATCCTAAGAGAAGCACCTCTGATTCAGAATTGGGCATTCTAGGAGAGGAGGAAGAGGTGGTCTTCAAATTTTAAAATGACCTTTCATCTCCTACGGCTTCATATTGCCTTATAACACGGAAGTACACACATCAGTTGCACAAATATCAAATACTGGGGTAAGGACAAGTTATTAACATACGTGGTCTCTTGCTAAGTCATCTCATTTTGGCAGCTTTTAGCAAACCAGAATAATGCCAAATCAAGTATGATACCAACATTGTATACACAATATTTAATCGAACCACACTAAATAAAAAGAAAATTGATCAGAAATAGATAAAGCTTAGTCAGTGCTCTCAGCCCAACATCTGAGGTTGCCTGGTAAAAATGACACAAAATTATAAGCAAGGGAATAGGAACACACACTTGATTAAATGATAGATGTCCAGGAAATAAAACACATGCAAAGAAGGTGATGCTGAAATTATAGCCCGGCCATGCAATAAACACACTCCTCCTTTTCCCCTCCCCCAAGTGCATAGCAACATACGTTTAATAAGATCTTGGGAAACAGGTTCCCCGGTAGTCTTGGGCAGACTTTGGGACACTATGGAAAAAATAAGAGAACATAACTAAAAACAAAACCAGAAACATGGGAATGCTGGCTGAAACTGCTTCACAGGGGTCAACTGGCCCAAAGCAAAACAAACAAACAAACAAACATCAGTAAATTACAAAGAATAAACAGGGAACAAAAGTAAACACATAAATGCACATCAAAACCTATTTGCAGCCAAGATTAACATCTGAGAATGGATGACATTTCTCTAATTGGAAATCCAAGTAGCCTAATAGAGGGTTTCTTACTCCCTCCTTAATGCCAAGATTTACCAATATCCTTCAGTTCCTTTCTCAAAGAATCCCCATTTCACCCCACACAAGATAGCTTCTGGCTCCTGACTCAGGGATTTGATGAGGCCTTTTATTTTCCACTTACACCTGTCTGCTCAACTAACTGACCTTTAACCCCTTCTTTTTTCCACCACCTTTTGAGAAGCTGGGGATTGAACTTAGGGCCTGCAGCATGGCAGACGAGCAAAAGTGAGTGATATCCACTGAGCTACATCCTCAGCCCTACCATTGCTTTTGTCCTATGCTATTCTGTAACCCATTCGAAGTAACTGTTGCTTCTTACCCATCCCTGTTAGGTGTGTCCACCTTTTGCAAATCTCTCAGTAAAGTGTGTGCCAGCCAGGGCATCTCTAAGCAAACTGTGGTGACTACTGCTTGCTCCTTGTCCAAACACATCAAATGGAAAGGGTGTTAGAGATGCTCACAATGGGGTGACTTGGGACAATTTCTATCTCTTAAGGCAAATTCCACATTGCTAATAATTTAAATTTTTCTTTCTTATTACATGCATAATGTGTATCTGACAAAAATCTCACCTTGAAGCTAAACCAGTTAGCATCAATGGAACAAAAATCCTTTGTACCAAAGACGCCAGCCAAAATCATCTGCTGTGTTCCAAATTCTCTGACCTAATTAACTTCTTTGTTTGAAATAGAAGCAGAGGGTCTTTTGAGCTAGAAGCTGCAATCATCCAATCAAGGGCCAAGAAAAAAGACTGCTTGGTTTACAGGTTCCTACACCTGTCTCCATGCAGGACTGCAGCAATGACCTCAGGCGGGGGAGGGAAGGAGAGCCAGAGAGACTTTCCACTAGATCCCACTTACATATTGGGCCCCTTCACAATGGAAGGTTTTAATGGTGCAGGTCCTTTTGTTGTTTTGCTTAATCCTACAATCCACCTGGAAAATAATTTCTAGATCTCCAGAATTCTCAGGGCAGACCTGGTGGCTACCATCATTGCAATACATGAAGAAAGAGACAAGTTTCTCCCCGCAAAATGCATAATTCTTAAGTTCCATATAGGTCAAGCTTCCTATTTATGAAGAAAAATAAAATTGGGGTTCAATTTGGAAGACTACTAAAAAAGTGTTATATTATCTGAGAATTAATTCTTTAAGGAAAAGTTTCATTTTGCAGATTTAAGCCATCATAACCTCATATATCTTCTGCCCAGAATTATAAAAAGCTAAACATTCAAGAGAAAGGCTTTGAAAATTATTTCCCAAGCCTTAGGTCACTGAAGTTTTCCAAGTTAAGAATTTTCTTCTATTTCCAAAAGAAATGAAAACTTGACCCTGCCATTGTTCAGGTGCTGAGCTCAGGACAACTTGGGCATTTCTGCTCTCGGGCATTGGAGATGTATGAGCTCAATTCAATCACATTCCCGTACCACCACAGTAAAAGACACATTAGGAAATACCAGTATTCATCACAGCAACACACCCTGTCAAGGCAACTGAAGCTTCATCAGCCAGGCTCGCACAGGTAAACTGTATTCACACATGAAGTGCACATGCATAAACACAAACACACATGTACACAGACAACACATAAGTATGCATTTGCAGAAACAGCTTCAGAAGACAAACAGCTACTCCAGCTCCATTTTAAAGAGAAGCACTCAAAAGTCCGTACATATTGCAAGAGGAATTCTCCCACAGCTAGGAAAAAGAACACATCCAAGGCCATGCTTAAGTAGATAGACAGAGAGATGTGCTCACGATCGAACATACGGAGGAGACTCCGGACAATTAGAGAAGTTGACAGAAATGCGGTTAGTGGTAGCAACAGGCCCACTTTCATGAACCAAGAAAAATCAGTCTGTTACAAAGAGCTGAGTCAGTGGTGAGAAAGGCGAAAGGTGGCCAGGCTGGAGAAGGGTCCACTTACTGACGCTGCCACACACCGCCATGCAGTATTCTTCTGTGTCAAAGTTGTTCCTGTTGCCTCCACATCCGCCGTAAAAGAATGGGGCGCACTTCCCTTCAGTGACATCAAAGTACCAGCGGGAGATCATTGCTCGGCATGGCCCCGTCTCGGCTTGTTCAGAGCACACCTCTAATCAGAGGAGATGTGGGGAACCACATTTAGCATGAAAAGGCAGTGTCTCGTCGGTCACGTACACACGTTTACTTGTCTTATGCATTCATCCTCCCAGTGGTAACCTGGACTGGGTTGATTAGCACATCTACCGTTTACTGAGGAATTAATTATCCACCAGGACTTCAGAGTCACCTCTGAAAAAAAAGCAGGGCATTCTCATCTGGTTGAGTGTGGGGGCTGGGTAGATTTTGGCTAGAGGTTAAAAGATCTTTTAGCTGCTTTCAGATGAACTTTAAATGATGGATGGTTGCTGAACATCCAAACAATTCTCCTCTACAAAAAAATAAACTCTTAAAAAAACTTTAGGTCAACTTTGATGTGAAAGGATCATTTGGGTTATGATACAAACATTTAAGCTCACAGATATCTGGCTGTTTTCCTTAATAAATAATTGCCATGACTTCAGTATAAAACTAATTACACACATTTTGAATGTCTCCCGATTTTTGTAGAGTTAGTCTAACCACTGATTATACTTGAAAATATACATGTCGTCTCTCTATAAGAGTTACAGTCAATTACATTATCCAAATTTAAGGTATTTTTCACTTCTCCATCTCAACTTGGAGATGTTCTAAACAATAAAATGTAGTTAACCAAGTCTTAATTTGTTAATATACACCATATATTGTTTTATGTTTAAAACATCTTACCTGTCAATCAATATGCCTCATCATCCTTCCCAAGACAGTTCTATAATATCTGATGGACTTGTATAGTAAACCCTTTAATAGTACTTAGCAAGTTAATCAAGATCAAACCTTAGCATACCCACGTCTTGCTTTCTATTCTTGGTTTCACTAACATACCATCAGAAAAACACGTTTCTAGAAGATAAAAGCTACGCAGATGCCAGAGCTTCACGTGAAGAATATTCAACACAGTGATGATCCTCATCAACCAGGGACAAAGATCCACAATGTCAATACAAAGCGAACTGAGTTTACTTTCCTACACACACTGTTTTCTCCCAAATGCAATGAAGTGACAGCAAAACCAGAAGCTGCTGTTATCATGATGAGGGGACAAAGAAGGGACAGTGAATCTCAAGCCCAGGTGAGCCTAACAAACTCTGTGGAGGGTGTGTCACATGCAACAGAAACATGTAAGATGTACTGGGTCTCTGTGATGGTTTTTAGATGGAAATCAAGCTTAGGATCATGCATCAAGGTCATCTCACTAGTTACAGATGCTTCGAAAGCTTGTGCTTCTTGGATTTCTATACAGAATTCTCCTGTAGGATGAAAATCAGCTGACTTGTTGATGCAAGGATCTCGTCCAATTTGCAGTTGTATTCATCCCCTCAAATCACAGGATTTGCATTCTCATTTATAAAGGGTAAGTTAGTTATGTAGCCTATCACCTCAAAATTATTGACAGAGCAGTTTCTGGACCAAGGAGCTAAAAGCCATGACCACTTGGGGGCTCTGCCAACCACAGCCAGTGGCAGACTCCACCTCCAGACCTGATCTTCTTTGTCAGGTATAGGGAACACTGATTTTCCCTCCTTTACTGTATCTTCCTTATGAATCTGTACATATTTGTGTCACATGTTCATCCATGTGTCTAAGATGGGATACTACTCATCAAACTTCTCCTTGGGCTGCTTTAACTCATAAGACTGTAAGACCACAGTACTATGGCTGGAATTGCCACAACAGTTGCAAGGTAATATGGCTATTGCTATCAATCGAAGCACAGAATTCCCATATCTTAAGGCACAGCCACAAGTCACAGGAGTATTGACAGCAACACACATTGAGCCTCAAGTATTAGTGCTGATCTTTATTGCTTGGAGCACAAGCACCAACTGCGTGTCTTCTGATGCTTGTCTGCCATAGCCCCATAATGTTCATCAAAGCTTGGCAGGTATAGTAAATCTGTCTTTATGAATTCTCTCGTGTGAGAAATAACAGTGGCAGAACTTTGGGTGGGTGCAAATTAAATAATAGCATGATAGAATGATTGAAGAAGGGACTCCATCATTATGTAACCCAGAAGATCTGAGTACTTCTGATAGGGCAAAATCTCCAGCCCAGAACCCAATCCAAATGGCACTGCAATACTTACTATGTTTTTATACCTCTACTGAACTATATGGTACATTCATTTTTATTTTTCTTCTGCCTAATAATGGCTATAAAATCTGCATTACAGCTTATTTGAAGAAATCAGGCCAAGAAATTGGGGCCCCAATCAGCATGAAAACGCATTCAGAACTGGAAGAATAGGGCTAAAATGTGTCCCTTCTAAACCTTTAAAAGACAGTTATCAGTCCAACTGCGTCTGATCAAATTAGAAAGACTCACGGACAGAGCTAAAACTGCACATTCTGAGGTCGTAAAAAAATTATTATTTGGCATAAGTTTCTCCATATTTTCCAAGAATTTATACTTAATTAAACTTCATACATAGCACAAACATATCATCTTTCTTCTACTTAAACATTTCTTATCTGTTCTCCAATTATAGAGTAGGAAGAGCAAATGTAAGACATTAGTTTGCCTTTGTAATTTATCCCTTGCTTAATCTAACAAAAATAAAATAAAAACAAGACGTAAGTATTGAAATTCACTAACTATACTTAACATCAATATTTCAAATAAATTTGATTTATTGTTTAATCACTCAATCCATTAATAATGAAAAGGGCTGACCTCAAAGTAGTTTAAAACAACTTAACTTTTGTCATTGTAAGTTACTGATTCAGTTCTAAACATTGCTACGTGGTGACACCACATGGACCTAAATTATCAGAACTAAACTTGAATTCTGTTGAAGCTTAAGTGCACAAATTTGTGCTTATTACTGATGAAAAATATTAACAATTAATACACTAGAAAACTGATTATTTTTATAGAATGGGTTTTCCCTGGCAATTTTAGATTATTTAAGATAATTCTGATTTAGTATAATCAGCATACTTCTTAAAAGTGCATTTGTCATGTGCTTGATCATATTACCAAGCAGTCATCAAAAAAACATGATTGGGGCAGTAAATAATCAAATATTTATTATCTAGGAATCATACTTTACTCAACAGAGTCATGTAAAATTAGGCAAGTATGCTTGAAATGAATTCTTATAACAAAACTCATTTAAGCTCCAAATACAGGCTGAAATACCTACCGGTGATAACAAACAGCTGTGCATGACAAGGAACCCACTGACTTAGTAGAAAGAGAAGGCATCTCCACTTGGCTAGTCCTTTTATTAAAATGGGTTAATTCTCTAAGGCTACCCAATACATCTATCATTCTAATATACTTCACCCAATTTTCACATCTCTCTGTGCTGAAAGGTTATTTATAAAATGCCACCTAAAGAAGATTTAGTTGTAAAGTTTTAGACTAATCAGTACTCCAGTGCTGGTGTTAAGTGTGAGCGCTAAAGGTCACACTGTGATCTTTCCTGTCTTTGTTTTTTGTTTGTTATAAGAATAAACTTATCATTCACTGAGTGCCACGGTTAGTACAACAGAGAATAGCGTAACAGAGAACTAACAAGTTTGAAACTAGGAATTGGACATCGTATCCTATGTTGGAGAGCAAAGGAAAATGATTTTTTTAATTGAATGAGAAGTAGGGAGGGCTATGTGTACAAACTGGCTTTCTCCAGAAAAATAAAAAACAAAACACTTGAGTTATGGTATTGGCTAATTTCCATGGTATAAAGACTCCCACCACTGGTAATTTAAACGCAGATTTGGAAGAAATAGAATGCTGTCTGCAGATGATGTAACTGTCTATGTAGAGAAGCTAAAAGAATGGCCAACTCCTGAAACTAATAAGTAATAACGTCAAGGTTGCAGTTTGCAAGGTTAACATACAAAAAAAAAAAAAAAAATTTGCTTTCCTGTATACTGGTGGCAACAAACAAGTGGAATTTAAAATTAAAATCATAATACCATTTGCATCAGAATCAAATACTTAGGTTTAATCCTAACAAAATATGCATCAAATTTATGAGGTGAACTACTACAAAACTCTAATAAAAAACCAAAGAACTACATAAATCAAAGAACAAACAAACAAACAAAAATCCTCAATGCCGTGATAATTAGCTTTCACAAGCTAGGAAGGAATATCCAGTGACATGCCAATCAGTTGGTTTCCTCCAATGAGGCGCAGTAGGTGCACAGGTGAAACTACTACCAATTACCATGTAGAGAGATTGTGAGAGTTATTCAATATTCTTAGTCTGAAGGTTTGAATCTGGAAAAAAAAATTTCAGTGGGTAGACACCTTAGAGTTCTCTTGCACTTGTTGACATTGCTAAGATACTAAGAACAACACCATCAAAGATAAGGAAGGCTTTCTTTTCACTTTCTTATTCCTTGTCTCAATGCCCAAAATCTACACAATATGGAGGGCAGCAGACACTATTAGAAGCTCTTCCTTAACATAGAGGCCAGAGCCAGCAACACTTGGGTCCCACTGGACTTGGAATTTGTTAAGCAAGACTTTGAATGGCTGCTAAAGTTTGAAAAGTGCTGTGATAAACGATATAATTTAAATACAGGTATAAAGTGAAAATCACAGATACAAGATTCAGTCGTGCTCTAAAGGACCCAGGGAATAAGAACTCGTAAAAGTTGTACAGGACTTGACTTTTTAATAAGAAGTTTGCATATTTGGGGAAAGAAAGATACAATATTAAGGTGTAGTCTTAAAATTCAAATACACATCTCAAAACCCTAATTTTTTAAACAGATTGCATATACATATTTATTTTACTCTGAAATTCTGTATTGTCTGAAGCTACTAATTCTGCCTCAAGTCTAATAACAAAGTAATAATTTTCTTGGTCATATTTAAATCAATGAAAGCACCTAACTTCTCAAAAATCTAAATTTATATGATATTATTTCCATAACATGTGACAACATTAGAAATATCAAAGCTTTTCTTTTCATTGAGAAAAATAATGACAACAAACAAAAATCACACACGGCT